TCGTTGTGTTCCTTGTAACAAATTATTAAAAAAAAGCCAATGTTCCCACAAAAAAAAGTGAACGCACTGCCCCAAAATGGCGTCCAAAGATGGCGGATTGACGACTTTGACTTTAGTTAGTTTTTTGGTCACTGAGAATCAGCATTTAACTTAATTTCCTCATAGTTAGTCTTTTATTAAAGCTGAATAGTCATAGAATAATAAAACATGAAGAAATAATGGGCTTAGGCTACGAAAAACACCAGTAAAGTCAATTTTTTTTTCAAAAAAATTTTCAAGTTACGAATCAAGCGTCGTTTGTAATTAAACGGCCTACAATAACGCAAAACGTGCTGAAATAAAACATCTGGAGAATATATTTCTCTTTCTAAAACGCTGATTATTTTTAAAAAAATTTTAAACAGTTCCGTAGAAAATGTACTTATGCGGCAGAAAAGCGGTACTGGCGTGGGTGCCTACAGGCCTCTACCACACCATACCGTAAACATAAATGGCTTAGTTATAGTGATATAATAACATTTTTGGTACATTATATTGGTTTTATTAACGAACAAATATTAATGCAATAATTTAATCGTAAAAAAAAAATTAAATTTTTTAAAAAAAATTATTATTTTTTTTTTTAATTTAAACTACTTTATTCTATACGTAGGTCGTTTAAGAAGACCTCAATTGTAAAAATGATATAATGATAATAATAAAACTTAATTAAAAAATACATTGCTAAATATCTTGATTTTTTTTTATTTAACGTTTGCAATTGAACACTGAGTTTTGTATATTTACTGATTCTTAGAGGTAATTAAAATTTTTATATACTTCCCAGGAAATGAGTCATATTAATACCTGTTTTATGAACTAAAATTATATATACCTAATCTGAACTATATATAATGAATAGCTACCGGGTTGTTTAGTAAAACTCATATATCACTAATTAAAAAATTAATTTTTATTTCCTTTATTTTGTGCAGAAGTTGGACTATATCATAAATAAATACGAAATTTTAATATTGAATAAATTATTCTCTCTGCACAAAGAAAGATGGAAAGGATGACGCTATAAGTTCTTCTATAAACCAGAACTGATTGTTTGTTTTTGGTATCAAAATGAGGAAAAACGCAAAATTGAACCAGAAAATTGGAAAAATACATTAAGTGAACGAGAAAGGAAGTGCAAAAACCTCGAAAAGATAAAAAGGACATCAGTATCCATTATATAGCTAAATGAATGTTTAGTAGACAGATGAACAGAATATTTCAAGATGCTGCTAAAAGGGGGTCAATTGCAGTTTGGATGATATTAAGTGGACGATGTAGGTTTATTATGGTGAAAACCTCTTTATTTTTTATTGCTGAAGGTGCACATCGGGACTATCTTCACTTTGAAGCAGGATATAGAGAGGTATATCGAGAAAGTTATAGCTCATAGTTCTGTTTAGTGCATTTGCAAAAGATTTTTTAAGGAATCTTATATTAGCTATAGCTCGTTGTTGTGCAGAAATTGCGGAATAAATTGTTCGGAATTTGTACCATATCATAAAAAAATAGGAAATTTTAATATTGAATGCATTATTCTCTCTGCACGAAGAAATGGAAAGGGCGAAACCGAAATGCTTCGCACAGTTTTGAGCGTACATAGGCAACAAGTATATTAGAAAATGATATGAAAGGACTGTGGTTTTTACCTTTACAAGAAAGGAGATACTAGGAAATGTAATACCCATCAAGATCCATTCCTGTTTAGTGTACCAAACAAATTATACTCAAGAATCGTAGAAGCTGGAATAAGAAGTATTGTCGATTGCCAGAGCGATATGGATTGAGAAACTCAAGTTGCACATTGGAAGAGAAGTTGAAAATTGGGTCTGTCTTCACTTTAAGGCAGGTTATAGAGAAGTCCATATAAAAAGAAAAATAGCTCTCTATCTGCTTAGTGCCTCACACTTTGGATTGTGCTAATATCTAATTGTCTTTCAGAAAAGCTCGTTTTCCTTTTAGATTCCTTAAAAAATCTTTTACAAATGCACTAAACAGAAGAGCTATGAGCTATAACTTTCTCGATATACCTCTCTATATCCTGCTTCAAAGTGAAGATAGTCCCGATGTGCACCTTCAGCAATCAAAATAAAGAGGTTTTCACCATAATAAACCTACATCGTTCACTTAATATCATCCAAACTGCAATTGACCCCTTTTAGCAGCATCTTGAAATATTCTGTTCATCTGTCTACTAAACATTCATTTAGCTATATAATGGATACTGGTCCTTTTTATCTTTTTGGCACTTCCTTTCTCGTTCGCTTAATGTATTTTTCCAATTTTCTGGTTCAATTTCGCGTTTTTCCTCATTTTGATACCAAAAACAAACAATCAGTTCTGGTTTATAGAAGAACTTATAGTGTCACCCTTTCTATCTTTCTTTGTGCAGAGAGAATAATTTATTCAATATTAAAATTTCGTATTTATTTATGATATAGTCCAACTTCTGCACAAAATAAAGGAAATAAAAATTAATTTTTTAATTAGTGATATATGAGTTTTACTAAACAACCCGGTAGCTATTCATTATATATAGTTCAGATTAGGTATATATAATTTTAGTTCATAAAACAGGTATTAATATGACTCATTTCCTGGGAAGTATATAAAAATTTTAATTACCTCTAAGAATCAGTAAATATACAAAACACAGTGTTAAATTGCAAACGTTAAATAAAAAAAAATCAAGATATTTAGCAATGTATTTTTTAATTAAGTTTTATTATTATCATTATATCATTTTTACAATTGAGGTCTTCTTAAACGACCTACGTATAGAATAAAGTAGTTTAAATTAAAAAAAAAAATAATAATTTTTTTTAAAAAATTAAATTTTTTTTTTTACGATTAAATTATTGCATTAATATTTGTTCGTTAATAAAACCAATATAATGTACCAAAAATGTTATTATATCACTATAACTAAGCCATTTATGTGTACTGAATGGTGTGGTAGAGGCCTGTAGGCACCCACGCCAGTACCGCTTTTCTGCCGCATAAGTACATTTTCTACGGAACTGTTTAAAATTTTTTAAAAATAATCAGCGTTTTAGAAAGAGAAATATATTCTCCAGATGTTTTATTTCAGCACGTTTTGCGTTATTGTAGGCCGTTTAATTACAAACGACGCTTGATTCGTAACTTGAAAATTTTTTTGAAAAAAAATTTGACTTTACTGGTGTTTTTCGTAGCCTAAGCCAATTATTTTTTAATATTTCTTCATGTTTTATTATTCTATGACTATTCAGCTTTAATAAAAGACCAACTATGAGGAAATTAAGTTAAATGCTGATTCTCAGTGACCAAAAAACTAACTAAAGTCAAAGTCGTCAATCCGCCATCTTTGGACGCCATTTTGGGGCAGTGCGTTCACTTTTTTTTGTGGGAACATTGGCTTTTTTTTAATAATTTGTTACAAGGAACACAACGATATGCAATTTATAGGGATGTGGGGGGGGGGTGCACGGTAAGGGGGTCTGGCCCACCGTGTATATACTTCTGCATTTAGCTCCTCTAATTTTTCATTAGCGCTTAGTTAGGTTTCTCCTATCTAAAAAATGACAGTAATATCTCTATAGTAATTAGCTAATAAGTAACTACAAGACTTTTGCGATACTCTTGTGCAAGACCAAGACCATGACTAAGACAAGGTTTGCAAGACCAAGACTCGTCTCGGTCACACATTTGGGCAACACTAATCTCCGTTACCTTCTACAATTTTCTATATTAGATTTTTTTTTTCTAAAATTCACCGTTTTCCAACGATATATTATAAGTATACCTTCTGACTTGAATTGCCGGAGATTTATTTTCGACCTGTATAAGCATTTTTATTTTTTTTCTCCTCTATTCAATTAACAAATTCTTTCAAAAGTTATATTTAGCATTTTTCGCTAAATATTTTACATAGCTGCTAATTATTTCACAATTGTTTATTATTTCCAAACAATTATACATCTAAAGTAACATAACCTTCCTAGTTACAAAGAAAAATAAATAAAATGTGATTCCAATTAATGGACTAAACTTTTACCAATCAATTAAATGTGCTAAAAAAATTAGCATTACCTAAGTAACACATTCAAAATTCAAAAACCAAAACAAAGGATATAACTTTGCAATTTCGTAAACTTTTAAAAAATAATATAAACAAAAAAGTGTATACTTTTTGAGTTATTGGGAATTTAATTTTAACATCCCTCGTAACTTTGTTCCAGCTTCTTTTCGTTGAAGTATGTTATGTAGATAAATTTAAAGGGTGTCGAGAAACTGACTTAAGCGAAGTTTCATTGAAATTGGTACATTCGTTTAGGCAGTTGCGTTACAGTCTATAGCAACGCAGGTTTTAAAGCATTTTTTTTTTTCTCCTTTATTAAATTATCAAATTCTTTCAAAAGTTATATTTAGCATTAATCTGAAATGATTAACTTTTTAAAATAAACCATATTAAAGGTACTTTAGAGGAAGACGTATATGAACATTGGGCATTTAAACCCTGTAAAGTGACATCAATGAGGATAAGACTTAATTGATATTAAAGACCACTTAATTATACAATGCACCGAGTTTGATCAAAATCGTTAGAGCCGTTTTTGAGAAAATTGTGAAAATGTGCTTCAGCGTTGATATAAAGTGGCACTTCCTGTTAGCCGATTTTAAGGAAAAAGTTGCCGTCACAACTAAGGCATATACCTATCTTAAATACGTGATATCAGTTTCATAGGACTTTTCGTTTTTGAGCTAGACTGCTAACATACAAACACACATACCATTTTTCGGGGTCTGGTTATTTGGACTGAGGGTACCCCAAAACGTGTATTTCCGTTGAAAATTCTGATTCAAACATTTTCTCGATCGCAATACTTACCCTTACTGTATATTACATATATACGTAAGTGAAAGTAAAAAACATAAAAACAAGATTATTGTAGAGATTAAAATAAAAATTAACATTACACCTGAAGCACTTTTCTTTTCCTCTAAGAAATATCCAATTGTAGGTTGTGTTGCTCTAAGAGGAAGATCTGGAGTAAAAACACTGTCCGATATTAGACCAATAGGAACTCTTTTAATAGTGTATCCATCAGGAGCACTGAACAGAGGATCATGATGCATATTGGATTTTTTTCAAATAAGGAACAGAATTTAAAAAATTAAAATTTAACTTTCAAAATTATTTATCTGTAGCTAATGTACATTAACAGGCACAGCTGTGTAATAAAATTATGAAAATACCGCTTATTATAGCTAATAATTTGTACATCAACTTTGACAATTACACAATATTACTAATTGTAGCTCATTATTAGAAAATTTTGGAGCCTTGAATCTCTGAAGTAGCAGTAAATTATTAACCGGTCAACGCTTCATTGAATCAGGCATCACTGTAACTCAGCTATAGATTGATGGTGGGAGCTTTCAGTCTGAAGCCCCTAAACATAAAAAAAATGTTATATTTGTTTATTAGTTCATATTTATTTTTGTGTATAATCTAAGATAATACTTAAACAATCTTATATATTATTTCTAAAAGGTATTTTTTTGGCGGTAAGCCATAACTTTATCAATTCTTCATCAAATCCAATAATTGACCACTTATTTTAAAGACATTCTTCTCCTTCAAATGCGAAAAATATTCGCGAAAAGGTAAAAAAGTTATAAAGGAAAAGAACCATTATTTGCGAATAAATAATTATGCATTTTTTTCTTGATTTTACCCATGATAATTAGATAGATTACTAAATTACTTACAAAACAAAAAACAAAATTCGGACAATTATTAACAAAGATACTCTCCATTAGTTTTGGTATGCCTTTATAATTTAATCCTCTTTAAAGATACTATATTTACAATTATACTACTTAGATAAGGTAGTGTAATCACGGGTTTCTTTTCCCAAACTTCGCTCCACTTAATACGGGCAGCTCACTCTGAAATGATGTTGAGGTGAGTGCTATTGAGCAACAAAAACGTTCCAAGGTCTTAGGTTTGCTGGAACTGTAATAAACAAGAACACCTTTTTTGAGATTGAAAGGAATCTCGACGTGTTTTCTGTAATGGTTGCGGTGAAAATGGCGTCAAAATATACGAGTGTGTGCAGTGCAGGAATCGGTGAACAAGTAAGGCCGGACGGGAAACGGAGAAGCAGAGGGGAACTAAGTTTACCTTACATCTCTCTGCCATATTTGGGGAATTCTTATGAAACCCGTGAAGAGATGTTAGCTGCGTTTGAGGCCTGGACTGAAAGATATAAACTCAGCATATCCGATTCTCAGGATCTACAACCGTATCTGCTTGTAACCATTTTTGAACGCTCCATGATGGGCTTACTTGACTGGTTGAATAACTTATTAAAGGTCAATTGCACATGCGACCGTCTAATGTTAGAAACATTGTGGTTCCGAACGGTCATGCTCCGTTTCAGGTGAAGTTACCATACCCTTTAAGTTAGAAATTAGAGTTGGATAATTACAATGTTTGAGGCTCCTAATCTAACTATTCCTTTAATTCTTGGAATAGATTTTTGGAAATCAATGGGGGTCGTTCTAGACTTAAGTAATGATTTGAACGTTCAAAGATCCGACCGATAGAAGTGATTGGCATCGCTCAGAGAATTCGAAAGAGAGCAGCTTCAAGAAGTTCTCCGTAAGTTTTTATATCGAGAAGGACCGAAGATTGGATGTTTGAAGAACTACTCATGTAATGGATACTTTTGATCATCCACCAATAAAACAACGTTACTATCCCGTATCATCTGCATTTCTCTGAGAAGTGCATAAAGAACTAGATGAGACGGTCGCGATGGGTATAGTCGAGAAAAGTAGCAGTCTATTGTCCTCACCTGTTGTAATGGTCCGAAAACCGGATCAGCCATACACATTCTGCTCAGACTTCAGACGCCTGAATGCGGTCTCGAAGAAAGATGCGTATCCATTACCTTACTTATTAACGATATTAGACCGTCTAAGAAACGCAAAGTATCTTAGCACTCTCGTTTGAAAATCAGCATATTGGCAGATTGGCCTGTCTGAAGAAAGCAAAGAGAAGACGGCGTTTACGGTACCTGCTCGTGGATTGTTTTAATTTAACAGGATACCCTTCGGCCTTCATAATTCTCCAGCTACTTGGCAAAGACTGATGGGTCAGGTGCTTGGGTCAGAACTGGAACCATGTGTTTTTGTGTATTTGGACGACTTTGTGATAGTAACACCAAATGAAAATAATTTTAGAGCAGATTAACAACGCTGGCCTTACACCGAACCAAGAAAAGTGTAAGTTCGCTCGCGAGGAGCTTAAGTATCTTGGGTGACTGGTAGACTACGAGTAGACCCAGAAAAGTTAGCTAGTATTTTAAATTATCCGTGTCCGAAAACAATTAGTTAAATTCGAGCGTTTACAGACCTACCTTCTTGGTACAGAAGGTTTAAGCCCCATCTCGACAGCAGTCGTAATTTATGGAGAGGAGACCGATCCCTGGTACCAAAACATAAAGCATGAAGCAACGATAAATCCGGAAGAATTCCCGACTTGGGGTGTTACCGAAGGTCGCCTAATGAAATATGTATTTGAGAGAAATCCGTTAAAAGTTGGCGGAAACCATTGGAAGCTGGTGGAACCGAAGCACCAAAGAGATGCAGTTCTCAAACAATACCACAAAGACCTAACTGCAGAATATATGAGGATTAACAGAACAAGGAAAAGAACTGCCCTATATTATTTTTGGCCAAACATGATTCGAAATGTCGCTAATTTCGTAAAAAAAAATGTCCTACCTGTCAAATCATGAAACCGGAACAGAAAGCTCCTGCTGGCTTGAAGAGTATGACGTCCATTCCTTCAAAACCCTGGCAAGTGGTTTCCATCGATCTTATGGGACCATTTCCACCTTCCTCGAAACAGAATAGATTGGTGGTAACTGATTACCTTGCCAAATTTGCCCTGTTTTTCCCATTAAGGCAGGCTACAACACAGGCAGTAACAACGTGTTTCTGATGTTTGGAGTGCCTGAATGTTGTGTTAATGGTACTCAGTATAGCAGGGAAAATTTTAAGAATATGCTAGACTAATAGGGTACTTATTGTCGGTACAATCCGGCATACCATCCCCAGGCTAACCCTACTGTGAACGTAAACCGGGTTCTGAAAACTATGATTTCATCCTACGTCCAAGACAACATCGATCATGGAACAGACTATCGCGGAGTTCAGCTTTGCGCTGAGAACAGCCAGTCACGAGACAACAGGCTACATTCCAGTTTTTCTTAACTCCGGACGCGAGTTATTCAGTCACGCCTCCCAATAACGAAAAGTTAACGTTAATCCTGGAAGATGCCAAGACGCCAGGCCCAAGAATAAAATGCTCGACGTTATAATCTTAGACGTTGGCAAGTCAAGTTGGTTGAAGGTCAGCAAGTATGGGTTAAAACGCACACTCTCCCGGACTTAAGTAAATACTATACAGCTAAACTGAAAAGGATATAGTCAAAAGAGTCCGATTCGAGGAGGCTAGAAGACCGTTGGGGAAAAGACACATCCAGGAGTTGAAAGCCAATTCATCAGAGAGTGTAAACATTGCAGAAGAATGCCCTTCGCCATCCCCAGGAATTAAGGAGATTGTCACAGTCGACAAAATGATTAAAATATAAGAATTTGAAAAAAAAAATAAGTGTTGCAATTTTTTTTTTTTAGAGGGAGGTTATACAGATAGAGAGTTGTGAGATAGACTGAAAAACGATCTTTTATGATTTTGTAAGAAATTTTGTTAATTATTTTTGGTTGTTTCTATTATGAATAAATTAAGTAATTATGGATCTGTTATTAATTATTTAATATCACCTACAAAGAAGAAATAGTCTGTAAGGAAGAACTCACTCCCCTTCCACTGGTTACCCAGCTTACGCCCTTATTAATTATAATTATACTATTATAATTTTATCATTCAGTTTACGTATAAAGAAACGTTACAATACATATGTTGTTTTCATAAATGCGTATTATTTAATATTTAATTGTATAGATTACAGCAACAGGTCCCTTATCTTTTACAATCAAATTAAGTATTGTTTACAATCCGGTTTTCGTTTCCATTATTCGACCCAAAACCTTGCTAAAGATCCCCAATATTCTATAAATAAACAAAATAATCTTTATCCTAATCGACTTTTCAAAAGCCTTTGATTCCGTCAACCATAAGATCCTCCTTTCCAAACTCCAACTGCCTGTATCAGAGATCTAAAATGGTCGCACTCCTTCTCATCCCACCGATCACAGATAGTTGCCATTGCTTACAAATCTCCATCATCACCAGGATCGGTTGCCTAATCGGCGATCGGCGAGAGCCTCCGTGCCAGTGGGACTCCAAAATCATTGTTTTATGTTTTTCTAGTGCTCCAAAAATAAATGTTTTGTATTCGTTTATTTCAGCATATTTTTGAGACTCCTCCGATGGAGTCTAACATAAATATTTTTTACTGTTTTGATTCCCATAGAATGATTGCACTCTGAAAAGAGTCCCAATATCATTATTTTGTATTTATATAGTACCGTTGTAAGTTTAGCCTCAAAAATAATTGTATTGTGTTCGTTTATTTCATTACGGTTACCGTCCACCAGTGAAGCAAGGCTGCCCGAGATGACTTTCCCTCTCCTCCGAGTACGTGAGGCCCGTCAGCCAACTGGAGGCTACTCACATGGAAAAATTTAGTATGGAAGAACATCGATCCATAATCCGGTTTAAATTCTCAGTAGGGTAGCCTGGGAATGATATGCCGGATTGTACCGACAATAAGTACCCTATTAATCTAGCATATTCTTAAATTTTTCCCTGCTATACTGAGTACCATTATCACAACATTCAGGCACTCCAAACATCAGAAACACGTTGTTACTGCCTGTGTTGTCCATAATCACAGAGACTGCAGGAGAGCGAGGGCGGAAGAGGTTTACCCAGAGGACTTGGATGACGCAATAGACGAGGATGAGTTAGAAATGGCACTAGCCAGAATCAAAATGTGAAAAGCACCGGGACCAGATGAAATATCTCCAGAGTTAATTAAATATGGAGGCAATGAAATGATCAAGATCCTTCAAACTCTTTTCCAATAGATTTGGGACCGTAAGCTGGTACCACAAGAAAGGGAGAACATTATCATAATACATGTATACAAGAAAGGCAGCTAAAGTGGATATGGGAACTATAGGCCAATATGCCTCTCTTCAGTTCTGTACAAGATCTAGAGGAGGAACAAACCGCTTTCAGACCCGGCAGACAGACCCAAGACCACATATTCTCACTTCGGATGATTGTGGAAAAAGCATGGGACCGTGGTAAATTGGTGTATTTAGCATTTCTGGATCTTAGGGCTACTTTCGACTCAGTTCTGAGATAGTAGATACGGGACTCACTAATTAGAAGAAGAATACCTGCAAACTT